GAGCCTCTGGGGTTACAGGTCGCACCAATGCGCAGGACTTAGGTAGGGGTTTTTATGTAGCCCAAGCTACAAAGCTATTGCATGACCTAGTGGATCACATGCCCACACATGGCTAATGTCACAGCCTTAGAAGAATGAAAATGATGAGTAAGGACTTGACAGATTTTGCTGGTTATTTTCATTGTCACTATTTATTATTAAATATTCAAAAATTTTCACACAAAGAGATAAAAGGGGAGGGAGGAAGAGCTTCACGACCTGGAAGTTGAGTTCCACCCACTCCGGGCCTGGCCTTGAGCGAGGAAAAATCACTAGTGACCACCCGGGGGCGTAGGTGCTCAGGCCGGGCGAGGCGTTCCCGGCGGTGTCCGGTAGGTGACGCTGTTGGCGGCGGTGGCAGAGAAGGGACCGGAAGCCGGGCCGGAGGTGGCTGGGAGTTTTGTCCGACTCCTCCCGCTTCCGTTGCCGTAGTCGCAGCGCGTCGGAGCCGGGTTTGTTTCTGTCTGCTGTCCCTCCGGCCGCCGAGATGCCGCTGGAGAACCTGGAGGAGGAGGGTCTGCCCAAGAATCCCGACCTGCGCATCGCGCAGCTGCGCTTCCTGCTCAGCCTGCCGGAGCACCGCGGGGACGCGGCGGTGCGCGAGGAACTGATGGCCGCGGTCCGCGACAACAGTGAGGCCCCGCGAGCGCCGAGTCAGCGGCCTGGGCCTTTCCCCGACGGGCGCGAACCCGGGCGTGAACCCGGGCGTCCTGCTACCGAGTCCCCGCCGCTCGGCCTGGCTTTTTCTGGGGGCAGGGCCTTCCTTCCGGAGGCGATGGCTTTGGGGTCCTTTCTCTCCCAGGGCAGCTGGGGGGAGAGCCCGGTGCTAGGCCGAGAGCAAAGGCCCAGGGGCCGGCGGCCTGTCCGTCGGGGCCTAGCCCTCCTTTCCTAGCATGGAGGACGTGCCTGGACGGCCGCGTCTGACGCCTTCTCTTGCTTGGAGACGAGTTCCCTCCTTTGCAACCGAAGCCGTCTAGAGCAGAGGGTCACCCTCCCTTTAGACCGAGCAGGGTTTGGCCAGTGTCAGGACTGGCCCTTGGGCGGCCCCCCACCTGCAGACGTCTACCTGTGGCCATGTCCTTTGCCACGCCCTGTCCCTTCCCTTACCCTGAGTGCGGAGGAGACTGGTGGATGACAGTTGCATGAAAAGAGGCGGCAGACATCGACTTTACAAGTGACCTCACCCGTGCGTCCCTCTTTTTGGCTTTCAGACATGGCTCCTTACTACGAAGCCTTGTGCAAATCCCTCGACTGGCAGATGGATATGGACCTGCTCAATAAAATGAAGAAGGCCAATGAGGAGGAGTTGAAACGTTTGGATGAGGAGCTGGAAGATGCAGAGAAGAACCTGGGAGAGAGTGAGATTCGAGATGCCATGATGGCAAAAGCCGAGTACCTCTGTCGGATAGGCGATAAGGTGAGTGGCGGTGATGTCCCCACTCCTGTGTGAGTATGATGTAAAGTTGGGGAATATTCTGTACTAATATCATCTCATTGTAAAAAATAACTTTAAAAATCCAGAGGCAGTCGTGTTCCTGAACTAGTGAGTCAGTGCAAAGATGAATAAGTAATCAATAGTCTTGCAAGACCCTATCATTGACTCTGGATAAATGCCAGTGTGTTCTTCCACTCCCGTCTCCCTGTCATTAGAGACAAGTGCACATGGAGATTTGTATTCACTGCTTTTACAAAATTGGAGTCATTCTCAATAGTTCATTTTTCTCACTTGTTTGGGAAGTATTTATTGTGGTACATTATGAAAACACTGCACTGCTCTTCTCCTTCTAAGATACAAAGGCACAGGAAGTGTTGAAGTTCTGGTTTGACCGTTTACTCCTAACATCCACAGAGATGACCTTTTAGTTCTTTTTATTGTGCATTTATGTGCATGCACTTGTCCTGTAGAAAATAGGTAGTATTTAATTTTTAAAAAAACCTATATGGAATCATAGTGTACTCAGGTAGTCCTGTTTATTCTCTCTTTTTAATATTTTATAGTTGTAGATGGACACAATGCCTTTATTTTATTTATTTATTTGTTTTATGTTGTGCTGAGGATTGAACCCAGTGCCTCATGCATGCTTGGCTGAGCTACAGCCCATGTCCTGTTTATTCTTTTCACCTGGTATATCTGAGAGGACTTCCCATGTTAACAGATACCTATCTCACTCATTCTGGTGAACTGCTGCCTAATGTTCAACTGTAGAATATGCCATAGTTTGTCTATTCAGGGGTTGGTGGACCTATATGCTGTTTCAGCTGTTTTTGTTTTAACAAACTGCTGCTGTAGAAAACATGCTTGTATTTGTCTCTTGGTGTATTTTTGTAAGCTAGTGTTTCTCTGAGGTATTGATCAGTCTGTGAAATGAAATTGCTGGGATAGTGAGCGATTTTTTATTTTGCCCTGTGTGGCCAGTTCTGCATAACACTCACCAGAACTGGATTTTTAAAAAAAAAATTTAGTAGTTGTGTGATAGTGGGTAAGAGGATGCGCTCTGAATGTCCTTAATTTTAAGTAGTAGACTTAAGTATATAGGATGATGGGTCAATATAAAGAATGAAATGGTGTGCTCCTTTGGATCAGATCATCTGAGTTTTATTTTCAGCTTAATTAATTTTGATTTGAACCCTTAGTTTCTCATCTGTAAAATAGGGATAATGACAGTTTCTACTTATTGCTGGCTAAAGATAGAGGCAAAGAACTTAGACCAGTACTTGGCACAAAATGTGAAGCTATTACTTAATTGAAAGACTTGGTCATGGTAAAAATTTGGAATATATAATGAAAGTTTAAAAATACTAGTTCTGCTTTTAGGTTATGTGTGTGTATGGTTTTGTTTTAAAGAGTTTTGGTTAGCTGCTGCCTATATCACTTCTGAGTGAGAAACTTTTGATTCAGACCTTTAACTTCAACAAGGACATGCCTGAGTCAAAATCAAGGAGTTACGAATTGGTTATGTTCTAATACTATGTTCCTCTTATGTTTACTAAGTAGCATTCTTCCAAAAAGCACATTCTTTTTTTCCCCTCCTATACACTGTTTTTATTAAGTATAGACATGGAGGGTTTTTATTATTGTGTTGGCCACTGGTTGTAATCTTTATTTTTTATGATTTGTTGATTTGTTAGTGGAGGTCCCTTCAAGACAGCTTCTTTGTCCTTTGACATGACTTCATTAGTGGGCTTTTTTTTTGTGGTGCTGGGGATCAAACCCAGGACCCCAGGCAAGCACTGTACTCTTGAGCCACATCCCCAGCTGCCTCTTTCTTATGTTTTGACACAGGAACATTTCACAAGCTCACCTGTTATCTTTCCTCTCCATACCTGGAATGGTCCGTTTCTCCTAGGACCCCGGTTCCTTTTCATGGGGGGGTAGTGTTTACATGTCAGGAGTTGAGGTGAGGTGCACCCACTGCTGTCTTGACAGCCTCTCTTGTAAGTCCATGGAAATTATGAAGGAATGAATTTCATACAAACCAGCTAGACATGTTTTGAAAAATACCAAGTATAAACAAATTTTTATTCATATTCTTCAAAACAGTGGAATTATTTTATTCGACAGTGCTTTGAGATAGGATTGTATATGTACATAGTTGTATGCTAATAATCAGTGGCATAAGATAATATTCCCATTGCCTTTTTAAAACTTTTTTTAGTTGTAGTTGGACACGATGCCTTTATTTATTTATTTTTATGTGGTGCTGAGGATGGAACCCAGGGCCTCACTCTAGCGCTAGCACTTGAGCCACAACCCCAGCCCCCCCATTGCTTTCAAAGTGATAAAAATTGCTAATTTATAGTAAAGTTTTTTCAAGTAGTGTATTATAATTTTTAAAGCAAACATTGCATACATGAGACAAGGGATACTACAATTATAAGTTACTAATGTCTTATATTTTCTAGAATGTTAGTATATGCTAGGCATTTCTTATACAAGTGGAAAGAACAGTATAATAAACCCATCTACTCACTGTACAGCTTCAGCAGTGATCAGCGCGTGGCCGTCTTGTTTTTGACCTGTTGCCCCAGCTTTTCTGAAGAACTCCCAGACAGCTGGTAGCTTTGGCAACTTGTAAACTTTCCTCACCTGTTGTGTTGGTTTTCTGGACAGGAGGGAGCTCTGACTGCCTTTCGTAAGACATACGACAAAACTGTGGCCCTGGGTCACCGCCTGGACATTGTATTCTATCTCCTTCGGATTGGTCTGTTTTATATGGATAATGATCTTATCACCCGAAACACAGAAAAAGCCAAAAGGTACTTTTAAAAGTAATGGGGTGAAATTTCCTCTAAATTATGATGCTATTAATGAGAAGTTGATAGGAGAAACTTGCTTATTTTGTTTACAACTCTTAAATTTGGTCAAGTAACTGTGCTTATTGAATAAAATACTTTCTTCAAAATACGCCCTTTTGTTCAAGTTAAGTTGTGTTCTCTTTGAAAAATTAAAAAAGTGGCCAGATGTGGTGGCTCAAGCCTGTAATCCCAGCAAGGCAGAGGCAGAAGGATCGCAGTTTCAAGGCCAACCTCAGCAACTTAGTGAGGCCCTGTCTCAAAAAAAAAAAGTGGGGTGGGGTGGTCAGTGACTCAGTGGTAAGAGTTCCCCTGAGTTAAATTCCTAGTAACTACAACAAATTTATTTTTAAAAAGTGGCATTGTCTGTTTTCAGGTTATGACCTCAACTGTTTTTATTTAATAGTTTAATAGAAGAAGGAGGAGACTGGGACAGAAGGAACCGCCTGAAGGTTTACCAGGGTCTCTACTGTGTGGCCATTAGAGATTTTAAACAGGCAGCTGAGCTCTTTCTCGACACCGTCTCGACGTTTACCTCCTATGAGCTCATGGATTACAAGACGTTTGTGACTTACACTGTCTATGTCAGCATGATTGCCTTAGAGAGACCAGACCTCAGGGAGAAGGTGATGACTGACCCTGTACTACTGTAAAGGACCACTCCATGCTTCTCTAAGTACACAAAGTCATTAAAGTATAAGCTTTATTTTTTTAATACCCAGGTCATTAAAGGAGCAGAGATCCTTGAAGTGTTGCACAGTCTTCCAGCAGTTCGGCAATACCTCTTTTCTCTTTACGAATGTCGTTACTCCGTTTTCTTCCAATCATTAGGTAAGGAGAGAGTGGCCATTTTGATGATCTGTCTTTATCTTCTGATCCTGTGTACAAATAACCAAAGATGATTTTTCACATACCTGGAAGATGTAGTGTGTAGATAACCGCAAGTTTTTGATCAATATGGCTCATTTTCTGCCAGTTTCGTTGAGAGGAAGGTTAGTTAGCAAGCTGTAGTCCATTTTTAGGACTACATTTGTAGGCCAGGAGGTAACCATGATTTTAATATTTTTAAAGTGTTGTTTAAAAGAATAGAAAAAGAGGTCCATGTATTACAGGTGGCACACACCTGTAATCTTATCTATTCAGAGGCTGAGGCAGGGGTATTGCAAGTTTGAGACCAGCCTGGGCAACTTAAGGGAGACCATGTCTCGAAAATGAAAAGGGCGTGTGTGTGTGTGTGTGTGTGTGTCTCGGTGGTACTGGCAGAACACAGCAGAAGAGTATCTGATGGAGAACTATGTGGCTTGCAAACCTAAAAATACTTACCTTCTCTGGCCCTTTGACAAGGAAGTTCACCATGCCCTTAGAGGCTGGGGGAGGGGGGCGGGTAATAAGTTAAGGGTGAATAAAGGATTGTAAGGGTTGACTCTGATGAGGAAAGAGTTGAGGGAATATGGAGTGTCTTTGGGTTGAGGTCAGCTGAGCCTGGACTTCACTGATAGGTTTTTTTTTTTTGCAGTAATTAAGGCTTTGTGCTGATCTGCATGTCATTTTCAGAGGTTGTGGGCTGAGAACATAATCTGTGGGAAATATCTGTGTTTCTTCAAAGCTACTCTACAGATATTCCGCCCACACAAATTTGCTTTTTCCTCCAGTCCCCTTTTCTCCCTGGCCATTTGGTTTCTAATGACTACCGAACTAATGACAGAAGAATTAGCTTACAAATGATTTTGCTAAAACAGCAAAGTTTAGCATTGATGTAGTCTCTTGTTTATGCTGCAGACTTCAGAAAGTGCTTGTCTAAATGTATCACATTCATGAAAAATGGGAAGGGGGGGACTCCAAATGATTGTTCTGTTTTTGCCCCGGGGTTTGGCCGGATTTATGGAGCACTTTGTGTTCGAGGGGCCGATCTCATGTAACGCAGGCACAGGGCTATCTTGCGTGAGTCACTGCTCCCTTGGCCTCACCCCTTCTTCATATGTACACATGGTTGTAATGCAGAGTTGCTCTTTTTTGTGCTTGGGGGTCTCTAGAGCCTTTCCTCAATCAGAACAAACTCATTACTTCTCTCGTTCCTGGAATTACAAATTAAAAGATACAATTCCCATATCATAAAATTGACCATTTTAAGGTGTCCTATGCAGACAGGGTGGTGCAGCCATTACCAGATTCCCATTAGGAAGCCTGAACTCATTAGCAGTTAGTTCTCCCCCGTAGCCACCTCTGTCTACTTTGTGTTTATAAATGTCTATTCCGGACATTTCACGTAAGTGGAATCAGGATAAGTGTCTTGTGCCCGAAGACTTTGACTTAGCTTAATACACTCACAGTTCATCCATGTTGTAGCATGGATTCCTTCATTTTCTTTTATGGTCAAGTGATAGTCTATTGTATAAATATGCCACAGTTTATCCATTCATTAGTCAGCAGACGTCTACACTGTTTCCACTTTTTGGCTACTATAAATAATGCTAGTGAGCACTTGTGTACAAGTTTTTTGTGGCTGTTTTTCTTTCTTAGGTATATATACCTGGGAGTCTGGAATTGCCAGGTCATATGGTGATCTAATTTTTAAAGGAAATACCAAATTATTTTCCAAAGGAGTTGTACCACTTGACATTCCCACCAGAACTTGTGGGTACTGTGGGAATTCAGTACCTGTGTCTCTCTTTGATCATGGACATTCTAGTGGGTGTGAGGTGGGACCTCACCGTGATTTTACTTTGCAGTTCTCTGAAGACTGGTAATGCTGAGCATGTTTTCATTTGCTCCTTGCCACTTACATAAGTAGTTAGAGCCTAGCACACCGTTTCATCATGCTTTCTTAGATTGTCTCTCTTGACTAGAATTTTTGGGAGCAGACCTCATATTTTTTTCCCTTCCTGTCCCCGACACCAGCATGGTGCTGGCACATTTACCGAGGGCTTGATGTAAGTGCTGCATTAGTGAGAGCAGTGATTGAAGGGGGTTTCATGCTGGTGTGATGAGATTGGTGGCTTGGGAGCTGTGGAGATGTTTAAGGCATTAACCTCTCCCACCTCCCCATCCTTGCCAGTCATCCACCTTGTTCAAGGCACAAGCGTCCTTCTTTTCTCTGGGTCACTTCGATGTCTGTAGCAGATGCTTGTATTCTGAAGTTTGTCCTTTCTGTTCCCAGGTCGAGCTGTGCTTATCCTGCCCTGAGATCTTCCCTTATTTGCATTGCTCTGTTCTTTGCTGTCTGTAGCCAGCTTAGCAGAGCCATCTTCCTGTCCACCCCGTTCATGGAGGGCTTCATCCCACTGTCTTCTGAGACTATTGCGTTCCTCTATTTCTACACTTGCAAACTTTGCTTTCCTGCCATATCATCTGTAAATATTCAAAAAAAATAAGTTGTATTTGTATGGACTGCTCATTAACATCATGTGAATGGTTTACTGCTTTTTTTTTTTTTTAAGTTGTCAATGGACCTTAATTTACTTATTTATATGTGGTGCTGGGGATCGAACCCAGGGCCTCACACCTGCCAGGCAAGTGCTCTACCACTGAGCCACAGCTCCAGCCCCTGCTTTTTTGGTTTTTAAAGCTGAGTTTTAAGAGCTCTTTCAAGTTCTTATAAATCACTTTTCATTAAACATTTATAGGGCGTTAAGACCATTTACATTTCTGACAGTAGGGTTCATCAGTCTTTCCCTTTACTGCTTCTGCTTTGTTACTTTTAAAATGTCCAATTTATACTGCTTTCTGGTCTTTTTTTATGTCACAAATTTTTCTTAAGGGTATAAGAAGTTCCCTATAGTTACTTTGTCAGTCTGTGGACACATTCCTTTAGAAACTGGGTTCTTTTTAATAGGTGATGTCAGATAGCCAAGTGCCGCATGACTGATGTGCCTGGAGCTGGCCTCAACTTGGTCACGGCTGCTGTTGAGGTGGTGTGGAAGGGCAGAGAGAAATTCTCTACTTGACTAAGTCTGTCTCTTGGACTCAAGAGTTGTTTTAGATTTTAATCCCTTAAGATGGAAGGTGGAATCACATAACTTATCATCTTATTCATTGCAGCGGTTGTGGAACAGGAAATGAAAAAGGATTGGCTTTTTGCTCCTCATTATCGATACTATGTAAGAGAAATGAGAATTCACGCCTACAGCCAGCTGCTGGAATCCTACAGGTCCTTAACCCTAGGCTACATGGCAGAAGCATTTGGTGTTGGAGTGGAATTCATTGATCAGTAAGTTTAGCACCGTGTTAGTTTTACAATTGCCTTCTAATGTGAGTTTCTACATTGCCTATGGATATTATGTTTTGAGGGGAAAAAATACACATCAAGAATTTGATTCTAAATATCAAAACACATCTGTCATCTCTTCCTTCCTCAGTCTTCCCCTCTTGTTGATACATGGGAAGAGCGAGGTGCAGAGAAGTGGTCACTAAAGTTGCCGTGATCCTTTGTTCCTCTGACAGCTACGCGCAGCTAATGTTTTACCTTAGGTTTCTGTATTTACATTTGGTCCTAATTCTGGCCAAACTAGTGGTTGAACTTAGGACTTTTTGTATTTGAATAAGACAGTGATTCAAATAGATCTCTGTGTGTGCTTGGTATTGATAGAGATGAGAAAGTGTTCTAGTGCCCTCGGGACTGTATATACATGTGGCAGGCCTGAGAGGGGAGGATTTGCTTTGAGATATGATTGACAGTTAGCCCCATGGAGTTCTAGATGCAGAGAAGGGGACAAGCTTGGATATCACAGGAACAGAAAAAGCCAGGGGGACTCAGCATCATTGGGGAATGGTGGTCGAGTGTGGCACTGAGGTCAGTGAGTTAGGCAGCGGGTGTTTGTGTGTGGGGTCGTCCTTGTTTTCCAGCTGGGAGGCTACTGCAGGACTTCCTTGCCCTGAGTGTATGTGACAGCCATGTGCCATCATGGCTTCCGATACAGGTCCTTAAGTCATATACAGTTTTCAGTGGTTCACGATGACAAAATGAGGGTGTGTTTCATTTAAATAAGACCATTTTCTTTGTAATCTGTCATTCTTTAATTCTACAATGAATTTTATCATTTTATTTGCTGTTATTTTTTAACCATGTCAGAGCAAGTTTCAGACACTAATGGATCAGTATTTGTTTTGAGATGCAGTGCACAGCTAGACCTAATCCAAAGCCCTGTTGTCTTTCCCTCATTTTCTTCCTTTGAAAGAAAGAAAAGCAGTGATAGTAATCTTGTTTTTAAATGCTGGTGTTCCTGGTTTTGTTGCATATTGAATTCCAAATTCGGTAATCATGGCCCAGAAGACTGTTTACTGGGCTGGACCCCATAAATGGGTTTTCTGAGTTGGGGGAAGGAGTGGCTGCTTCTTCCAGCTCTGCAACTGAACAGCTGTGTGGCCTTGGTCAGTTCCTTAAACTTCACTAGTGGTGGCAATGGGAGGCTCAGGTGGAGGAGGAGATGCACGGAAGCCACAGTTTTGATGACCAGTGAATTCAAGGCAGCTGGTACATTTCCTCCGGGAAGGGACTATCTCAGTACAGGCTGTTGCAGATCATGGGCTTTGTCTGAAACAGTGTAATAGTTGAATCATTTCTTCTCCAGGTCCTTTAAAAACTTGGTATGAATGGCTTCACTGTTGGACACCTGTGTCCCATTACTGTAAATTCTAGGGTTGTATGTGTAGATGATAAATCCAACAGTACACCAAGGACATCTCAAAAGTACAGCATATGCAATAATAGCTCAGGCTAGAAGGAAGACTAAGGGTTACCTGAAAGAACACTGAATATGAGTTTCAAAGCATTCTGCAAGTACTATTCTTTCTAAGGCTAATGCTGGTTTTCCTTTCTTTCAATTAGGGAACTGTCCAGATTTATTGCCGCTGGGAGACTACACTGCAAAATTGATAAAGTGAATGAAATAGTGGAGACCAACAGGTACTGTTTTGTGCATAGAATAAGGGGTATTTGCAAGTGGCTTAGAAATGTAGGTCAGTGATTGTCATGGAGAAATGTGGCTGGTAAATAATTCACTTTCTTCCTGTATTTATTTATAGACCTGATAGCAAGAACTGGCAGTACCAAGAAACTATCAAGAAAGGAGATCTGCTACTAAACAGAGTTCAGAAACTTTCCAGAGTAATTAATATGTAAAGTCATTTGAACAAAGGATTTTTCTTCTGAGTAATTGGAATTTTTATAGCTTATTTCACTATGTGCCCAGTTCACCTTATAAAATAAATACTACATTGTTGTTTCACTTTTTTTCTTAAACATACTTGCCTTTAAGGATGGTAGTCCTATAATGATAATGTCACTTGAATTATTCATTAATGAAAAGTGTTTTGTCATTCGAACGAGTGCTGTTCAAGGTGTATGATGGTCACAGTCAGAGGCATAGGACCCAGGACTCATCAGTACGGTAAGGACCTCTGATTCTGGAGAGAAAACACTGTTACCCTCTTAGTATAGTGGAACATACATGTTTTCATGTATGCTTTCCCTCACAAACAAGTAACCATGTAAGACAAGAAGTTACCTCATTAGCAAGCTGGCAACCTAGATTCTAGAACATACCTTACAGAGCATAGATTCTAAGGAATCTTGTGCGTATATTAGCAAAATGAATCTCCCCCCAAAACAGTGACAGCAGTGGGGGGAATTAGAACAGCTCCTTCTCTGTCTTCCAACTGTGAGCTCTGAGTCAGGTGGGGTAAGAGCTATGTAGATGGGGATGCAGTGGGATAGGGATAGAGGACATTTTAAACAGGGTGTCATAGAAGGCCTCTGTAAGGTGACATTTCAGTGAAAACCAGGGAGAGAGCATGTGGGTACCTTGGGAAACCGACAGCAAGTCACTGGAGGTTTTAAGCAGAGAAATCAGAGAAATTACCTTACTTACCTTTCAAAGTGTCACTGTAGCAATCAGCTGGAGGCGACACTGGGTGGGACAGGGGTGGATGGCGGCAGTGGCCCAACTGCTGAAAGTAAAATGGCAGGAGGGCAGGTGAGAAAACAAATCGGGGAGATCGGAGGCTGTTTGCTTAGGTTAAAGGTGACTCTTGGCTGTGAGTTTTGGCATCTCACAGGGAAGAGAAAGAGGTTTCGTTGTTGCTTTGGAGCATGCTTTTTTGGTTGATGGGAATGATCACTAACATTAGAGAAAATGTGATCTTATTTGAAACTAACTCCAACATTCTCATAATCAACAAAAACTCTTCTATAAACCAAATGATAAAATAAAAAAACCTACCACGACAAGATACGTAATGGCAAAATATCAGAAGCATTATCTTACAGGTTGAGACAGTGGTTGCCATCAGATTATCACAGGAGAGATGGTGGGGCTGTGTGGAGGTGGACAGGAGGCTTTCAGTTGGATGCGTAAAGCATTTAAGAATACCCGCCTATAGGTTTCAAAATGATCCATAAAACCTTAATTTTGTGAACAAACTGAACGTAAGTGTCCATACAAGATCCTGCAATTCATCAAGTGTAGTCTGTTAAATCCAGCAAATTGTCATTGAGAACTTACTGTGCTCCTTGTCTCCCTTTAAAGTTAGAACAGTTATGAGCTGTGTGTGTGTGTGATCCTAGCTACTCAGAAGGCTGAGGCAGGAGGACCACAAGTTTGAGGCCAGCCTCAGTAATTTTTAGTAAAATCCTGTCTCAAAAAGCGCCCAGGATGTAGCTCAGTGGTAGAGCACTTGCCTACCGTTCACTCCCCAGTATTGCAAATAAATAAAATGAGCAGAATTCTACTTTTTAGCCAACTGACTCCTTACAGTTCATGCTAGAAGGAAAATAAGATCAAATTGCCAGTTTTTTAAAAATAGTCTTTCCCTCAACTCCCTCTAGTGAAAGGACACAGCCTGATGTGATCATACAGCAACTGTGGCTTTTCTGCTGAGAGTCCCTGTGGCCTTAGAGGAAAGTGGCCAGAACATCTGTTCTCCTCCTTCCTTGCTTAAAATGTGCTTGGTTTTCTTTTTCCTTTTACCATTTTAGCCCAACTGCCTAAAATTAGTAGGTGAGAATGACAGGAGGGAGATGCGGAAAGGGACAAAGTTGTACTTCCTCCCCATGGGGGATGGACACTGAGAACTCCGAGCCTGGGGACCAAGGAAGCAGATAGTGCCGCTGGGGGAGGGAGTGTTTCCGTCATGAAAAGTAATATATGCTCATTTCAAAAGAAATTCAAGCAAAGTGGAACTGCTTTGAAATGGTCCCCTACAGAGATGACCACTGCTAACGTTCTGAAGAATATTCTCTGTGCTCATCAAGGTTTTAGTGCAGAATTGCAGCCCTTGTCACCCACCGTTCAGGAGTTTCTCTCTCCATTACAGGTCTCAGTGGCACCCCGCTATACCTCAGAATACTGATTTGGAGGTGAAAATAAAATTGGGACCAAACAGCTCTCATTTTTTTTTTTTTAAGAGTGAGAATCTTTTTTTGATATTTATTTTTAGTTTTCGGTGGACACATCTTTATTTTATTTTTATGTGGTGCTGAGGATCGAACCCAGTGCCCCCGTGCATGCCAGGAGAGCACGTTACCACTTGAGCCACATCCCCAGCCCCAAACAACTCTAATTTTAAGTGAGGCTGTGAGATTGGGAGAAACTGCCTCTCTCTAGGCCCAGCCCACACGGCGCTGAGCAGGGAGGTGCTTCACCTGTGTCTGTCAAATGGGCCCCGATCAGGCTCAGTCGAGGCTTGCTTAGGTGACCTCAGACAATACAAAGTAAAAGATAAAGCCACTGGGACATTAGTAGATGACTGAATAGGGTCATCTATGCCAGTGTGACAGACTTGGGTACAGAAAGACCACCAAATTGATGTTGTTAACCAACTTGGGTTTGCTCAGAAGGGGAGAAGACATAGCATGGGGACTTCCAACCTTGCTTTTCTGCCTTCAGCCAGTTCATTTAAACAGTGCTGCCTGTCCAGACAATGTCAGGTCCATGGCTGTGCTTTCCCCGAAAACCCGGAGGCAGAGGCGCAGCTTCCTGATGCCACAGAAGTGCAAAACAACAAACGTTTATGGCCACCATCTAAGTGAGTTAAAAAACTATTTCCAGTTTCTCTGGAAAAATGGGTAGATGAGGCTCACTGTGGACCTGTACTCCCTACAGCTGAGCGTGATGGGAGCATGCTCTCCAGCAGGCCCCTCTACCTGCCTGGGAGCCACAGACGGGACCCCCGTCTGGCCCCTGGTGGCACTGGAGCTTGCCACCCTGCCCTGCTCCTCATACTGTGCACTTGAAGGTGAAGGTCGGCAGCCCCAGCATCTGCTGGCTAGGAGACTCTAGCCAAAGAATTCTTAACCTGCATCTCACCTCTGGTAGCTTCAAGTTTTGTAGCTTGTTTTATCAAAGTCCTAATTTTCTGGTTTTAGACAAAAAGGGCACCTCACCATATGGAAATGAGATTACCATCAAATGATAGTTTGATCTGCACTGTGACACAAAGCTAGCACAATCATACTTAGTTCCTTTTTAATATTGGTGAGTATTTTCTTTTGAAGTTGGAAGCTTGATCTCACCACTTCTATCAACCCTGGGTGTAGTCATTATGAAATCCAATCAGGGGGATGAACTGTGTGATTATTTTTTAAGGCAATAATGCTAGTTTCTCTCACCTTAATAAAATGTGTTTATCCACCAAATCTACCAGTCCAGATGGCCATCTATATCAGAAATAACAGCTTTAGTTTAATTTTTTAAATATGTATTTTTTAAGTTATAGGTGGACACAATAACTTTATTTTTCTGTGGTGCTGAGGATTGAACCCAGTGCCTCATAAGTGCCAGGTGAGCACTCTACCACTGAACCACAACCCTGGCCCCTTTAGATTAATTTTTAACACATTAACAAACTTCTAGGAATATACAGTCCAAAAATGAACTTTGTTCAGCATCTGCACGAATCTCTACCTGACCCAAATGGCTAAACGGGTGTCTACAATTTGATCCCTGAGCACCTGCAATCACTTAGGATAATGAGTGAACACATTTAGTTCTCAGCAACCTGACTGAACATTAAACTGATAATAGAAGCTTACTGGTCATTAACAAATCAACTGATAGTAACTCTGTTGGTGCTATGAACCTTTTTTTTTTTTTTTTTGAAGATGATGATGAACGGCTCCTACTTCTCTGCCCCATCCCCCTTCCTCACCTTCCCAATGCTGCACACACTCACAGCTGTTAGCAAGCTCCCACCCTGACAAACGGTGATGGGGGAGTGAGTCAGTCCCCGTCTGGAAACTGGAGAGCTTCAACAGCCACTGGTTTTCCTTTCCAAGCCATAAGACCACAGGCGCGCGTTGCTGTGTTCCCGAGGACACGCGTGCTATGAGAATTTGCAGTGGTTTAGTCCAAGCCATTGTAGCCTTGAGGGACATGGTCAAGGAGGAGGGTGACCCTCTGTCAGTCATTGAGAAATCTCTTGTAATGACATAACTGTCCCTGTGAGGATTGGGTTTAAGAAATAAAATGGGGGCTATATGGCTCAGTGGCAGAGTTTCCTTAGCACTACATAAAAGTAAACAAAATAAGGCCCACTGTCCATCATCTAACTACCAAAAAGAAAAAAAAAAAAAAAAAATGAACAATTTGCTAGTGAATGACTGACCTTCATTACAGCAGAGACTCCATCGGCCTTCCCCTCCTGGGCTTCCCTGGGGGAAGTGACATTTAGCCCAACTGCCAGTAGGTGGTGCCCTGACAACCACACTGCCCTCCTTGTCAGACCTTACCAGAGAGCTGTGCTGACAAACTACGCATGATTTCTGAGGACTCTGCTTCTCCCGGCCCCCCTCTGGATCAGAAGCTGTGCTTTCACACATGCCTCAGAAATATGGGGTCAGGGTGAAACCCACTGCTTGCTGGTCCCTGGCCACTGTACACCTTCTCTTTGGACCTGCTTACACTGTCCTCCAGCACACACCTCCGACTCGCTGCCCCAGTTCATTCCAGGCTCGAGGGCAGGCTCAGCCTTCCTCACAGCCCAAGGACTTTGAAGTGGACACCCCAGACCACAGCCCGGGCCACCCTTCTGAGCCCTAACTGCAGGTCCTCCTCCAGGCCGCTTCCAACCACTCCCATGGTTTCCCTTAGGAAACCACAGGCACCTGTGTCCAGATGTGATTTTGGAAATGAAGCCTGGGATTCCTCTAGATTCTTCTAGCTATTCCTGTCTTCTGGCCTATTCCCCAAAGAACTAAGCCACCTTGATACGGGTCCCTGGCTCCCACCCTGCGCGTCAGCCCTTAGTTGCTGGCTATATTGATGTGAACACAGACTCACGCTGAACAAACCCCTGAGCTTGTTTAACCATGGGTTCCTTGGAAGAACCACCCTACAACTTAACCGGAACTTAACCTACAACTTAACCTACAACTTAACTGGAAGCAGGGTCTTGAGAGGGCCTGCCGAGGTTCCGCAGGGGGCCTCCAGTTCCCTTCCCCCAAGACCCAGCGGCCGGTCCCTCCCTCTTTCTCTCCACCCTCGGGTCCCTGCCTCCCTCTCTCCACCCTCCATTCTCCCGCCCAAGCTCCTAACTTCTCCCATCCAACCAACACCCTCCATTCTCAGGGTCCTGGAGAAAGCAGCAGAAGAGAAAAACCCCAAACACCTGTTACCTAAATGGGTTGATGATTTTAGTGGTGTCAACTTTCTAAACTTATGTTTCCTTTTTTCTTTTCTTTTGGTATTGGGGATTGAACCCGGGGTGCTTTACCACTGAGCTACACCCCTAGCCCTTTTTTAGTTTTCATTTTGATTTAGGATCTAAGTTGCTGAGGCTGTCCTTCAACTTGCAATCCTTCTGGCTCAGCCTCCCAAGCCACTGAGGTTACAGATGTGCACCACTGTACCTGGCCTGCGTTTCTCTGTCTCTCTGAACCATCTTGGTCTCTCCAGTCCCTGTCTCCCCTCTGACTCTTGGCTCTGTGGTGTTGATGCTGTGTTTCATCCTGGGTCTTTTCTCTCTGAGCCAGGATGAAGCACAGCATCATCATGCTTGATGGAGGGTGGGCTTCAAGTCTGTGAAATTCTAGAAATGGAATGTGATGTGCCTGTGCATCTGTCAGGGTCCCCGTCAACTTCTTCCATTTGATTCTTGGAGTGTGACCAAAAAAAAAAAAAAAAAAAAGACCTCTGTCCCGACTGTCCTGAATTCATCCCCTGGCTCTTCTGCCTACCAGCCATGAGACCTCAGGCCCGACACCTTAGTTTCTCCTCAGTGTGGGTGGGTCAGAACACCTGTCCTGGAAGGGCTGAGACTGTGAAATGCTAGGCACGCTATTTAGCAGAGTAAGGACCAGACGTAAGCATTACTTCAATAAGTCAGATAGAGTAATGAGCACCTTCTCCAGGTAAACCATCCCCTCTATGGCCTCACTCACCATCTACCTATACGTGAAAAACAAATCTACGTCTTACAGCTCGACCTCCCTCCCGAGCTGCATCCACACTCCACAGCCAACCAGGTGAGGGAGCTGCAGAAGGGCTGGGGCGGCCAGGGTAAGACGGCCAGTGAGGAGGTCGGGGCAGGGCCAGAACAGAGGAGCACGGAGAGGGTCTTCTGATGAGGTCAGCTTCCTGCTGGACCAAAGTGCTCGTGGACTCAAGCGGGGACCCAATCAGACAGACACTTCCGTACTTGTGTTCCTAAGTGGGGGACCCAATAGAAAAACCAAAACAGAAGCCTGGACAGAGAAGGTACCAATCAATAACAGAAGAGCATGGACGGGGGCGGAGCTAAGGGAAGGAGGACATTCCAGAGACCATAAAAGGAACAGGCCAGAACTCCCCACCAGACTCCCAGCTCGAGGGCCCCTCTGTCAGGAGAAGTCCTGTCTCTCTGTCATCTTTGCAATATACCCACTTCTCGCTTGCTGTCTCTGTGTCTGTTCTTCAATTCTTTGCTGAAGGGAGAGAGTGCACCCAGCACCCCAGACGGCCACATAGGTTCTAAATTAACCTGAATTTCTCGCTGGTAGCTTAAGGCCATATGTCTGTCTTATTCTCTGTGACCATGTCACACATTGTACTTGAAGCTCATCCACCAGTCTGGCCCAGGTGGAAACCTTAAACTCACTCTTCCTGTTAATGTTCAACGTAACCAGACCTCAAGGCCTGTTGGCTCCTCCTTTAAAAAGGTTTCCAGAGCCAGTCTGTAAACTCCGGAGCTCTCACCTGGATTATTACAACAGCTCTGTGACCTGTTTTTGTTCCAAGGATCTCATTTGTTCATCCTGTCTTGCACAGTTTTGCTGGAGGCCCTGTGTGATGGAGAGTTTAATAAAAAGTATTAAATCATAAGCACTTGATTCTTCCCTTCCCTTGAAGACTCCTGTGGCTGACAGTCTTACCCTCCCCTGCACCTCCTGAGGGACTCTGATAGTGCCAGCTTGGGTCATGGAAAATGAGGATAGCAAGTGCCAATAATTACAGCCTTACCAGGTCGAAGACAGGTTTAACTACCATTAGAAACAGGATCAAGAGTTTCTTAGGAGAATGGCAGCTGAAGAGGAGGAGGAGGAGGAAGAGGAGAACAGAAGAGGACCCATTAGGCTTGATTTAAGGGGAGCTGAGTTTTTTATTTTTGAGTACTGGGAATTAAACTCAGGGGCACTCGACCACAGAGCCCCATCCCCAGCCCTATTTTGTATTTTATTTAGAGACAGGGTCTCACGGAGTTGCTTAGGGCCTCGCTTTTGCTGAGGCTGGCCTAGAACTTGCGATTCTCCTGCCTCAGCCTCCTGAGATGCTGAGATTATAGGTGTGCACCACTGCACCCAGATTATTTTTATTTTTTTGAGGCAGGGTCTCACTATTTTGCCCAGGCTGTCTTGAATTCATGGGCTCAAGTGGTCCTCCTGCCTCAGCCTCTTGAGGAGCTAGGACTAGAGGTACACCACTGCACCCAGCTTATGGGAAAGCTTTGTGATGAGGCCTTCAAAGGGGGAGTAAAAACTGATATTTGAGGCAAGAGAATGAAAACATCAGAAATATGGGAAGAGATTTCTGTTCACCTCTGTCTTCCCCCCGTCTCCAGTACAGATGTGCCTGCCCCTACCTTCTCCGATCCCCTCAACCTCTGCCGTCTAGCAAGTTTCCTACAGAGTTATTATTCTCCCACATTTCTTCCTCGCTTCATCCTGTTTGCTTCCTCTGCCAAGAAGGACCTTACCCTGTTTTTCTGTGGGTGAGGTCCCACATGCCACCATCCTAAAATGCTGCCCCCAACTTCCTTGGAAAATCTAGCTGGTCTTTTGGGATCCAGGGACAGGTCACCTGAAAGGGAAAGAAAGGACAAATGGTAAGAGACTAAGAGGTTGGATCTTCTCCTGGAAAATCTGACACCCGAAGTGAAAGGAGGCATCCACAGGGACGTCCTCAGGTTGGACTGAGTCCCTGGTTCATCTAGAGGAACTGGGAAGTCCACGGGGCCGTGGGGTTTGAAGCCAGCCTGATTCTTTCATGTAAGGTCTGCATATGTTTTTTCCCATTACATAAAGCAGTTGCCCCCTTACTTTAAGCAACAACACGCTTTAAAAATTTATTAGAGTGATTTATTTGCAATGGGCAAACTGACCAGATTTTAGAAAGATTATGTTATTCTCTGAATGCTCAAGTATGCTCGTCTTGCCAATAAGGGAAGTATGTGAAAGCAGAGAAGAGAAGAGAAGAGACCAGCTCTGGATTTCAAAACACTCGAACCCCAAGTGACTCCATGTTATAAAATTTAAAGTATAAACAGAATTCGTTTCTCCAGTATCACCCCCCCCCCCAACCCCGCCCTGTTTCTCTCAAAAACCTTCGGGGCCAGAATGCAGTGTGCCCACTGTTTACACTACAACTGACTTATCCAAGGCAAAGCTCTGTGCCCGGGGCTGGAAACACCCTACGGCCTCACAAGTCCTGGGCCTGTGCAGGAGGGAGGCCCAGCGCAGGCCCTCCCCGAGGTGTGAGATGCCAACATGGAAGAGAAGCCAGACTGGACCGAAAGAGTTCAGGATCACGAGGCAGAAACATGTAAAACATTTCATGCAACCAACCTCATTTATTGAGAAGTCCTAATTTTATTGCCCGTTTAGTAACATGTTTGTTCCACAAACTAATTTCTCATAAAGCAAAGCACAACTTTTTCTTATAAATAGTATAAATTATTTTATTTACAGAAACTTGTTACAAAACAAATAGACTATATATTTCTTCTCTTTTAAATATCCAAAGTAATTTTCTATCCCTTGACATTTGTTCATGTTCTATACAGCAGCCAACAAAGTCCAGCTGAGATGCTCTTGATTATGTGTACAAATTATCAAACTATTCACACATTTTAACACAGGAGATTGCTTTTATAACCAAGCTCAAAAAAAAAAGCAAAACGCTTTCAAGGCCCTACATTCACACTGACAGTATGTAGTGCTCATTTAAATGATCTGAAAATGTAAAATGTTTTCCACAAAATGTAAAAATGATTATTTTCTGCTAAACAATGAAACTTTTTTTTAACAATCATTTTTCAAAGCCCGACTTCCCCCCCACCCAGGACAGAATGAGAGACATTAAGAAATTCCTTGGCAACAGAACTCTTGCAGGAAGACAGCTGCCTTTATAAGTTACATTTTTCAAATTATACATTTTTTTCAATGTTTTCAGAGGTACTTCTTTGTATTATATTTTTGGAATACAAAATATTTTAAATATTCTATTTTAAACTCTGTATTTCATGAGTGAATAACAAAACGGACACCTCATGTAAGTTTGCTGGCTGACAAAGATCTGTAACCCTGGGTGCCACTGGGCAATCCATCACCAGTTGAATTACTGTGACCCCAAAGGTCTTAGTTTTAAAATACCTTATAAAATTACCAGCATTGGTGGTTTTCGACTCTTCCCCTAAAATTTTGGAAACAATATTTAGGTGGAAAAAGCAAACTCCAAAGTTCAACTGAACATTCAAGTCTTTTTAAAGAGAATCTGTCTAAGCTTAAAACTAGGGTTCAGGCACTTTCAGTTTTTTCCATTAGTTTTAAACCACATCACATACTAATAACACATATGTGCTCAGAGTGTCTACACACACAGGCACACACACGCACACACTCACGCACGCACATTCACACACTCGCGCACACAAAACACGAACAAAAGAAAAGCAGTGTGTCACTTAGTTACGTGTAGTCTTGTTGGGAAATCAGGCAACTAGGGAGAGCAATGCCCACTTCATCTGTATGAATCCACTCCCGAGACATTAAAGGGACAAAGACTTTCACAGAACAGAGGCATCCCTTAAACTGTAAAGGAGGCAGGTTCTAGAACTATTGGCTTGGCAGTGAACCACTTCAAATTATAAAAAGGTATTTACTTTATTAATTAATAAATAAATACTAGATGATCTCAATTGTACCAAAACAGGATATCAGAAAAAAAGACCTGTGCAAAAATACATATTTAAATATGTACAATTCATTTTTAACAAAATATGTCTTCTGAAATAGGGATACTTCCATATTTATAATAGAACGAGAAATCCCAAAATAAAGATACAAAAGTAGGTTTTGTATAATTCTTTGTTCATCATTGCAGCACTTTTTTTTTTTTTTTGAAGGTTAAGAAAACTGCAGAAGTTGTCATGAAATTCTATTGGAAAGAATATAAAAATTATCTTGGTTTTAAATTGATACCAAAGTCTGTCTAGAAACATCCCAACCACTGCAAATTTGGTTTTTGCGAGTTAATTTAATTAAAAAAAATACTTGTACTCCCGTGTTTTAAATGGTCTTAATTGTTTTTCATAATAAAAAGTAGTTGTTGGAGAAAATAAAATATTTGAACAGTCTAAAATTTAATAGCACTGTTTAGAATAGGTCTGTTTGTGGCAGGCAGAATCCCAAATGGCTAATTTCCTAATCCCGATGCTGTGTGTGTTACCGGGAGACATAGTGAAATTCAATTCAAATCTCAGTCTAAGAAATCAAATTGTCAACACTCACTAATCTAAGTATCTACAATATTCTGAATCAACTTGCTATCGTGGATCCTATTCACATCTTTCGGAACAACATGATCTGTCTATAAATTCCATTGCTAAAAGCAACTTAATTTATAACCATCAAGTCCCCTTGGCTCTGAAAATAAATTCTACCCATACCCCATTGCACTTGTCACCAGGGAACTGACTAGATACCTTCTGATGCCCTCTCTCCTTCTCTCCCTCCCACACTGGGATGGAACAAGCAGACTGATTTCTCCCAACTACACCAAACTGGCCCGTGCGTTTCTCCTCACTAGCTCTCCTATAGTATCATTTTAAAAACATTTACTGATTGCATAATAAGTGAACAAGAACTGTTCTCCCCTTTCTTAAAAAAAAAATCAATATTTTACATCAATTTATAGCTAAAGTATCTGCATAAAGTCTTTGTTTTCTTACATAATAAGAATAATTCTGTAGCAATTCACATTATTAGGCTGGTAACCAAGTATTTATTCATTCTACCTGTTGTTGACTTGAAATTCCCTGAAACTGAAGTTGGTCACCCAAGAATTTGAGGGAAAAAAAGGACGCACTGACTGGCTCTGCCTGGGCCCCATCAGGGTGACGATCAGGGCCGAGGAGACGTTACCCTGTGTTCGGCCACTCTGTTCTCTGAGGCAGGAGGCCTGGTCCTCAGTTCAGGACTGTGGTGTGGCATCGCCAGATAAAGGCCCAGCTCACTCCCCTCGTGAGCCAAGCTGCTCCACTGTATCAAGCTTCGGGGTGGATACTACAGGAAACTCCTCACAGGGCTCCACAGCTCAGGAAGACGACAGCAGTCACCCTGAGGAAGAAGGCGTGCCCCACGGGGACCCTGCATGGGCCTGAGTGCACACTGTCGACGTCCACCCACCTCAGGATCTGCTCCCCACCCCACCCCACTTGCATCCAAGTAAACATCTTTAGTGGTCCTACGGGAGAGGGGACACACGCGATGCCAGGAGCACTGGATGCAGAAACTTACACTTAGTCCCAGGACAGTATCCACAGAGATAAAGGGGGGCAACCCCTCGGAAGTACATCCTAATGATATCACTTTAAAAAGGCAATTCTTAAAAAAAAGACTGGGTAGGACCATCAACCCAACCTGAAGTACTGTTTAACATGAAAACTTAAAGATAAAAAAACTGCATCTCTTTGGAAATCTTGGAAAAAGATGATTTTTCTCCCCCTATTTTTATTTTACCTTTCCCAGCCCCACCCTCAATTTGGTTTTCCATTATCAAAACTAGTTTGTATTTTCTTTTTCTTTTCTTTAAATCACACAGAATTGCTTTTGTACCATGAAAAGTAAGCCTCCAATATGGTTATGCTGGCTGTCAGGGCATCAATGACTTGAAACCATTTTGTAAGTCCAAAACCTCGGACAGCTTCTTATCCTAAATGACTTGCAACAGGCTGGGTCACTGTGTCATGACGCCTTGTGCCAACATCTGCCCTCTAGTCCTGGAACACTGCTGTGGAAATCTAAAGCCAGCTTTCTTTCTGCAGAGGCTGCTGGGGTACAGCCCTCCCTCCTGGAAGGCCTCCGGGCCCCAGGGGAGGCGCCTACCTGCTGGAGGGTGACCTACAGAAGACGGTGCTGGGGAGTGGGGGAGAAGAGGAACTGGCAGGGAGAGGGAGGAGGGAGGAAAGTCTACAGTAACGCTCTTGCCAAAACATTCTTTTGCCCAGCCAATCTACTCCAAGAGTGGCTCCATGATATACTGCAAGTTAGAACAAAACAAAACAAAACAGAAACTTCTCACAGATTTGTAGCAAGCAGTCCAGACCACTTTAACACTGATAAAAGCAATCCGGTGGCTGAACTCGATCCAGTGTCCTTTAAGAGTACTCACTGCTACAGACACAGCTTCAGGGAAGTCCTCGTCAAACATGGGCCTGGCGGGCTCCCCTGGGCCCACAGGAGGTCGGGAAGAGACTCAAAGGCATCGCGGAGTCCAGAGTGCTGCATGGAGGTGTAACTTGTCTTCAAAAGTGTCCGGATTGTTCCTCCCTGTGCTGTTTTCAGTCGTCAGGGTCGTGCCTTTGGCTTTCAGAACAGAGGGGTGGGGAAACGAGAGATGAGTGTGCGTTTGGACTCTGTGCCCCCTTTATCCTACACTAGAACATTCCAAAGGCCATGCGTCACTAGTGTTCCACTGACTGCAGGAGGCTGGGGTGGCGAGCTACAGAGCCTGGCCTTAGCTTCCAGGAGCCTTCGCTGTCCCTGGGCCTGACCATTCTCAAGGTCTCCTTTCAGGAAACCGGCTACAAGAGACACAGGCCTGGGCTTCCAGCCTGAAGAAAGGTTCCATGTTTGCCTTTGGTTTTATTTTCTGATTCTGTGCCCGTGAAGGCATTCCGGGTTACCCGAGAGCAGAACAAGGCTGCAGAGGCCAGCACACCTGCGGGCCAGCACACATCTGCGGCATGCCATACTCAGGCAGGGGCAGGGGGCCTCTGCCTTCCCAGGGCTGCCTGAGGCCTGGGAGCAGCCGTGAGCAGCCATGGAGCATCCCAGAGGCTCCCAGCACTGCCCGCCTCAGCCCTTCTCAGAGGACTTCAGGCAGCTGGACACCGTCCTGACGTCAGCTCCTCCAGGGACAGCAACTTGAGGGTCTACTTTTCTAGGAGTGGCAATCTTTAAAGCACTGTGGGGTCACGGGTCCCTCTGAGCCTCTCAAGCACACTACAGGATACCGCCTGCAGATCACTGAATGGAGCTGTGACCCTTCTTGGGCTCACTCATCCTCGGCTCTCTAGACACAGGCCCCCTAGGACTCCTGCAGTGTGAGAAGAGTGCTCTGGGCACGGAGGGCAAGCCTTCTCCAACACAGGCTTCAGTGGAGAGTGATTCCACAAGCAGAACCCAGTTAGATGGTGTGTGCCATGGTGCCCCCAGGCGAGCAGAGAGGTGATAAACCGGCAGGTCATAAGCTTGGCCAACAGACAGTGGGCTATGCTAGATTTAAAAGATCATATAGCTTTAAAAAATGGCCAAGTTTCTACACAAGTCCAGATTTGCAATTTCTCTGAAACTGGTAACGAGGGTCTGGGAGCAGCCGCTCCATTGAGGTGGGCACCCCTGCCCTGCCCGAGCCCTGGCCCCCGTCCACATGAAGACCAAGTATGCTCAGGAATTCTCACCTGACACTACAAGCCCTCCTGCTGGGGCCAGGGCCCACTGGGACACTGCAGCCAGAGGGACAGCTTTAGGGAGTTTCCAGTGCAGGGATGCTCACCATAAACTATGAGGAGGATCCACCAAATAAGAAGGAAAAGCAATTCTCATTCGCCCAGGAGGCTCTCTCCACCCCCACTCAAAAAGCCAAATGACCCAAGCCCACAATTTCAGCAGCTACTTAGTTCCCGGGTGTCTGCCCACCCTCCAGCACTGCCCACCACCCCATGCTGCAGGGAACTCCGTGGGGAGCGCCGTGGCCTGGCTGACGAGAGTCCTAGCCTGTCATACGTTCTGCAGACGAAGAAAGGAGGAAAAACAAAGAAGAGCCTCACATTTTAAGTCAGGGCTCTGGGGTGCTGCAGCTGAAATTCCTGTTCGTAAGCAAGGTGAGGAGATATCCTGATGGATGAAATAACAAGATGAGAGATGAGCTGGAGTTAGAGCAAAGGTAGCTGGAAGAGACAGCAGGGGAGGGGCGGGAGAACCAGCATCATGGGAGACTGGGAGAAGACGACACACAGCGTGAGACAGAGACATGGTTCACTGGGAGCCCGACACCCCTGGCCGGCTAAGGGACACCCAGCTCCACCTCTTTGTTAAGGTGCAATGGGGGATGCCCACACTGACTCCTGGCTTTATGCCTTCCTCTAAAACAGGAAGGAGAAAATTGGTGGTGGAATTTAAACAGAGTATCTGAAATTGTTCCAGGTGAAAACTATTACCAGCACTTTCTTCTCCAGTCTTGAAGCATCCCTCTCTAGGTCAGTGTGACTTCCAATGCAGGCGATCCTCAGAGTAACACCCTCCAGGAAATGCCCCTGCCCCCTCCCCGTCCTGATCTTGGGGTCCCGGCTCCAGGCCCTCCTCAGCCCCCTCTGCAGCACATCCCCGTGGCTCCCTCCTTCAGAAGCATCCCCCGCAGGCAGCAGGAGTTCTACAGAGGAGCCTGCTGTGGCCTCCAAGGCCAGCGACTCCTGCCTTTCTAAAATGACACCATGAAGCTGGACTCGTCTACAGGCAACCCCTGCCCCCTGGGGGGACTTTGGAGCAGAGCCCAGGGAGAGCTGGGGGCCAGGCCCGCAGTGCGCATCCTACCTGGTGCAGGAGGGAGCTGTTGGTCAGTCCTTGGGCCCCGGGGAGGGTGCCCGTGTGCTTCATGTGCACACTGTTCATGGTGGGCAGTCTGGCGACCTTGGTGGCCTTGCCACTGCTGCTGCTGCTGCTGACGGCGCTGGGGCTGGGCGAGCACTTCCTTTTCTTTCCTATGAGCCTGTCCAGCGGAGTGTGCGCCAGCGGGAAGCCCCCGTGGGCATGCACGGGGAGCTCGCTGGCCTGGTGGATGAAGGGGCCCAGGGAGAGCGTGGCGTCGTTGCTGTTGACCATCACGCTCATCCTTTTGATGGACTCTGCGGGGCTCCCACTGGGGGGGCCCCTCCCTGACTGCTCGTGCCGGAGGCTGGCCGAGTGCGCTTTGTTTGTCACACAGTTGAGGCCGATGCTGTGGGAAGATGTCACTGCCGACGTGTAGGGAGGCCCGGAGTGAGCCACACAGTTTTTCCTAAAAGACTCCATGGAATGAGAAGAAGAAGAGGAGGAGGAGGAGGAGGCAGAAGAGTGAACCAGCAGTGGGGAGCTGTTTTTGCGTTTCTTTCCTGAGCCGCCGCTGGTACCGCTGCTGGCATTGTGACAGTCAGTGCTGTTACCAGCAGACTCCTTGGGCCTTAAAGACTTGCTGGATTTCAACTTCTGAGGTTTCCTGGACATGGGGGAGGAGGGGACTGAAGAGAGGCCAGAGGGTGTGGAAGGGGACGAGGATGAAGAGGACACTTGTCTGGATTGCATACTGCACACAGGATCCATCGCCCCGGAAGTGGCAGGCTGTGCATTTAGTGTGGTTCCATGAGCTGGTACCGCTTTGCTATGTGGGGAGATGCAGGTGGATGAGAGCAGTGCTGGGGACGCAGAGACGGTGGCTGCGGCAAGGTAGCCGATCCCACACTGTGACGTCGGCACAGAGTTTGTCCGGTGAGGGACACGTGCAGAGACGGGTGATGTGGTACTGGGCACTGGTGGGATTTTCCTGAAAAAAGGAGAGGGCAAGAGTGTGACACTCACCTCACCGCAGCCACTCATGGAGGCTCAAAGACCCTGACAACCCACCGCAAGCAGAGGGATCGATCACCCGCACACCAGTCAGCCAGCCAGCCTGCCACTTCCTTCTTCCAATTCTCTGATGCCCTCCTGGGGCTCTTAGAATCACACGAGATGCGTGCCTCACCCCGTGCTGCCGCCCCAGCTTCACCGCCAACTCCCGTCCCCAGCCACAGATCTCCGTGTTTCGAGGACATCATGGCCTGACCCTGTGTGCCTGCCCTCTGTGCCCCACTCTTGCCCCCTCGGGTCGGCTCAGCACCACTCTCTCAGGAGCTCCAGGCTGACTTGCCTGCACCGACCTGTCCCTAGACATTCTGAGACTGCAAGTTGCTAACTCCTTTGCAGAGGGGGCCACCCACAGCTGACTCGCCATGATAGCCCTAGCACCTGGAATACAGAAGGCATAAACACAGGGGGAATTCTAGAAAGATGAGGGGGGAAGGACATCACCAGTTAACAGCAGCGACTAGGTTGTAACTACTGGCCAAACACTGCCCACGGGATACAGCCTCCAGATCTCAGGGGGCTCAGCCACAGTGTGGTAATGTTGGTGACATCTGGGTAGGAGCTGGGCAGACAGTCAGGGTAGGGAGGCCCCACTTTTATTTTAGCTCAATTTTTAAATGTAATTGCACCAGAATTTCAGCAGCCCCTGTGGCAAAATGAAGCCTGTTGCAGTGCCATGCAGCTGGGGTCCTCGTTACCCGCCCGTCGAGGGGGCCATCCCTGGAGGCCAGGACGGTGGGCCAGCCTGGGCAATGGAGCAAGAACCATCTCTTAAAAACCCAACCACAAAAACCGAGGAAGCAGAAAAGAAGGGCCTGACTAGAGGGCAAGCGCCACCTCCACCGGCTCCCGCTCGCCCAGTCCAACCCCGCTCTATTTCCAAGACAGGAAGCTGGCCCGAGCGCCTCCCCGGTGCCTTTTAAGAACCATGTTCTTGGGCTGGGGTTGTGGCTCAGCAGTAGAGCACTCGCCTAGCACGTGCGAGGCCCTAGGTTCGATCCTCACCTCCACATAAAAATAAATAAACAAACTAAAGGTGTTGTGTACAACTAAAAAATAAATATTAAAACAACAACAACAACAACAAAGAACCACGTTCTCCCAAACAGGGATTGACGAGGGCAAGTGCTTGCACCTGCTTTAAACCCCACTCCAGAGTGCGGCTGTGGCCTCACGTCAGAGCTTCTTGATTTGGGCTGCATGAGAGCCACCTGTGATGCTTCAGCCACCCCCCCATACCACCTCAGGGCAGTGGGCAGACTCTACCGTCTAGAGAGTCCTGGCTCCCCCACAGGACAGGGACTGGCACTATGAGAGGGAGGTGCTGGGAACGGCGAGTTCCTGGGCCCTGGCCTAGGACCTGAGCAGAATCTGTACCCAGAGGACCCCAGGTGACTCAGGGGTAAGCTCTGCTCTAAATGAAGCCCACACACGGTGATCTAGTGAGTGCAGTGAGTTCTTGTGGCCACCAGGGGGATCATGAAGCTGGGGCCTCAGGACTAGGTTGTCCTGAATCAAATACTGGAAAAAGGAAAAAGGCTTCCGAAGGGCTGGGGATGTGGAGGCTCACTCCAAACAACCGCCACCAGGTCCTCTGAAGAGGTTCTTATGCAGTGATGTGACCTTTCAGATAAGCAGAAGCAAAGCAGGAATACGTAGTAGTCTTGATTTCTGTCTGCACAAACCAGCTCTATAAAGGTATATAAGAAACTAAAAAAAGGTCTGTGGGCTGGGTGGTATATAGAAGGGCAGGGGACGAGGGGACGAGGGGACAGCCTTTTCATTGTATGCCTCCTTATATTCAATTTTTGCTTTAAAGCTATGCAAGTGCATTCCCAATTCACACGGTTAAACACCAAACACAAGGGCTGGGCTGGGGCTCAGCGGTAGCGCACTTGCCTGGCATGTGTGAGGCACTGGGTTCGAATCTCAGCACCACATATGAATAAATAAAATAAGGGTCTATCAACAACTAAAAAATGAAAATATAAAAAAAACCCAAACACCAATCCTTCACTAGCTCCCTAGCCCCTCTTAGGGATGTGGAGTAGTGGTCCCACATGGAGAGAGGGCACAGGAGCTCCCAGTAGCCACCTGGGCCATGACTGTGCTCAGGAGAGGCACTGGCCACTTCCACCCCTGTTCGGAGGCCCCACAAAGTGCAGGGGCTTAGATCACACTCAGCCCACCTCCTCTCACCCCTACTGTACCCCGGTGATTAGCAGTAAGAGGCCAAGAAGAGCTGCTCAAACAGCGCTCTTCCTGGAGGGAACTGTGCTAGGCCAGCAGGCTGGGACAAGGAGCACTCCCCCATCCAATCTCACAGAGTGCCTGGAACCAGGCCCAGGGGGCTGGACCTGCCCCAAGTTCCCACCTGCTCCAAGCCCATGCATCAGTTCATCCCTGAGCCACGCGTGTCACTGTGTACTGACTTTCAAAACCAGAGGTCATGTCAGTAGAAAGGACTCCGTCTTCCTCCTGAGAGCAAGTGACAACAGCCCTCCAGCAGCAACAGCCCAAGGAGGCAGTGAGTGCACCTCACCACCCCTCCAGCTTTTTCAGAGTTCAGAGCACAGACCGGGGAAGCTCAAAGGCAGGAGCAGCTCAACCGCCCTGCCCAGCCTCGAGCCCTCAGGGCAGTCTGAAGAAACGGCAAGCTGGGCCCTTAGGGGCCCTGGGGTGCACTGAACCCCAACAAACCTCTACTCCACCACTGGCAGGGGGGATTTCTCTTCAGAAGGAAGCAAGAAGTGCGCAGTGGGAGAGCAGAGCAGCGCCGCTCCTGACCTGTTGTTCTAAGCGAGCAACGCGTCCTCCTCCCAACTGTCACCGATGTGCTAAGGCCTCTGACCAGCTCTTCAGACCCACTAGGAAACCCGACAGGAGGGAAATGGACGCACTGGCAGAGCCCACTCAGCAAAGCACTAGCTGATGACGCCCAAATGACAGATCTGGGACTCTGAACAACCCCTTTAGCAAAGCTTTATATATTCATCAAAGTAGACTCCACCAAATGCTAGTTCCCAAGTCCAGAGAGTTCAGGAGACTCCATGTGGCTCATGACTGCTCCTGCTTTGAGTTTCAAAGCCCAGTGCTCATTAAAGGCTCTGAGAAGTCCTGCAGGAATGAGAACAATTTTACTTCAGGAAAGGCTGGATGAACCATTCATTCACTTAAATTCCCGTTTGGGAAACACGTGCAAATACAACACAACACAAAGTCTTCAAGTGCAAATCACAACACACAGCTCTTCTACCTGAGGCCTTCGGAGTTTCCCACTGCACAGTCAGCCCCACCGTCTACTGGCCCCCCGCTGGTCTCTCAGGCCTGGTCTCGCATGACACTCATGCCTACTGTCGCTCAGTCTTCACACTCCTGGCTCCTGCCTCCTGCCTCCTGAATCCTAGAATCCCTAGAATCCTATCCCCCTGTGGCTGCCCTCTGATTCATTCAATCAGGTCAAGGTCACCTTTTCAGAGACACTTTCCCTGAATCCCCCAGGTTGTTTTCCCCCATTTTTATTTGGAAATCAAGTGCCTCTAGGTCCAAATCCTCACCCTATCACCAATCTTCTGTGTGACCTTGTATTTCAGTGTTATTTGCTAAAAAAATTAGGGGTCCATTGCAGTCACTTGCCAAAGAACAGTGGAAAATAAATATACCCAACAGATTGAGGGCATGCAGCAAGCTCTCGGCTGACTCTCACCTTGTCCAGCCCCCCCGAGGACCAGCTGCCCACTCATCTGCTGACTGGTGTTGGCCTCCCCTGACTCCAGACCAACCATGAGCTCGGCAAGGGTGTCCATCCTCCCACCTTGAACCGGGCAACCAGGACAATGTGGTCACTGAACGAGTGAGTGGCTGGGTGACCAGGTGCCTCCTCAGGGTGGCCAGGCACAGCTTCATTTAGACTACCAGCTGCAGGGGCCGTCTGGGAAGTGGGAGATATGCAGGTGAGCTGCCCCCGCCTACTCACCTCCACAGCTGCGAGTTCAGATGCTTCTCCACCATGAAGTTGAGGGCGCAGCGGAGCCGGTTCCACCTGGAGTCGAACACGTAATACCCTCTCCCGATCTGCCGGCTCCCGAATGTGCAAAACTGAAAGAGAACACAGCGGGCTTGCCCCTCAGGCACAGCTGCCCCCGACACCAGAGGCCATGGAGCACGAGGTGACAGTGCCTGCCCGAGTGTCCTGCTAGGGAGGGAGCGCAGAAGATGCTCCCGACAGTGCTGGCTCCCATGGGGCACCTGGCCCAGCTGCTCACACCTGGACCACGTCCCACACCTCGGGCACGCCACACAGTGCCCTGTCCCTGCTGCGGAGGAGGGTCAAAGTGGGGTGGACGCGGAACTTACAGACGCTGGCTGAGGATGACGACCTGAATAATGACAGTCCAGTTTTTCAACAGACTCTTCTTTGTCATCGCCTTCACCCTCCTCACTGGATAACCGAGAGGCTGGCTCAGTGGCAGGCAGGGGAGGGTGTGGAGACTCATGGACTGGAGGAGGGTCAACGGGGGCGCTCCCACCTTGCTGAGCAGGGCAGCCTGGAGGCCTGGGGAGCAGGAAGTGCAGAGGGTCAGGTCACACACCCGGGAGACAGCGTGCCCAGACCTCCTGGGGGCTGGGCTCCCCACTCCTGGGGAGGCTTGCTGGCAAGGCAGCCAGGGAGCGGAACACCTCTCCCCTCGCCTGCCACCACCTGGGAACTCAGTCCCCTCTGTCCTCCCCAGAGGAGGACCGTGTGTGGAGTTTAAGAGAATTAATTACTCCCGTTCCTCTTCAATTTCAAATGGATTTGGGTTACTAAGGCAATAAATTATAAAGCGCTGGCCAGGGCTCTACGCTAACCTGGGAGGAATGGGAAGTGACGGGAAGTGACACCAGTACAGGGGCTTTCCCACTCTACGTGGGTACTCTGGAGCCTGGTGCGGCCTCTCTGCCCACAGCAACAGTGGCCCAGTGGTTCTGGAATTAGTGTGCTTTTCTTCCTAATGAAAAGCCTTCCACTGAAGATGGCCAAGGGAAGGAGTTTCTAGGGAGTCTGGGGCGGGACCCTGGCACAAGCCAGGAGCACCCCGACGGCTCCTCCAGGGTGTTACCCCAGGGCTGACGCTGGAGGGGCCCAGCACACAGGTCCTGGAGAGGGAGGGACTCCATCATTATGCGACAACTGCAGGGCAGAATGCAAGCTGCAGCACCCCAGAGCTGGCACCTCCCTAAGCGGAAGCCCTGTTGCCCTCAGCCCAACCACTGGCACCAACCCCCTCCTGCACGCCTCTCCCTTCCGCCTGGAACCTGGGCCCAAGGGTCCTTCAACTTCAACTTGGTTACATATGCAAGCACGCACACCCTCCACCAACACCACCTCAGGTGTGCGTGTGACAGATTCTCAAGCACCTTGGCCCACTGCTTATTATGCTGCTGAAATGTCTCATCTCCACTCAGGACAATATCCCAAAGGATTGCATGAAAAGTCGTGTTTGTGAGTGGATGTTGTGAAGACTCGGGCCTAATGCCTGTCCCCAGCAAGAACTCCCACAGTGTACTCCGGCAAGAAGGGAAAAATAAACAGGAAGCTACTGTCAAGGCCATGTGAAATATGCCAACCAGTAACCTGTGGCAGGCAAGGGCCAATGTCAGCCCTGCTCAATGGGGTTAAGAGACACCCGATTTTGAAGACGTACAGAGCAGATAATTCGAGCTCTGTGGTGCTGCTTGTATCTGCGACCAGGGAAGCCCTGGCTGAAACTTACTGAGGGCCTGGACAAGCTTCTTCTCACAGTAAGCATCAACTATAAAGCGCCTCCCTATGGCGAGCCTGCTGGTGTGTCCCCTGGATTCCCGACTGTAGCCTTGCCTGGTGCCCACAAGCCTGTCCTGAAGGCGGGGCCCAGGTTGGAGGGCTTGGCTTACCTTGGAAGACTGGGGGTGTGAGGTTTAGGTTTGCTAGCTACGGAAGGCTTTGATTCAGAAGGAGAGTTTTGGTGCGGCTCCTGCGACGACCTAGGAGGGGCGGGATGCGGGTCCCTGAGAGGCTGCGGTGGTGGCTGAGAGTCCGGATGGCGCATCGATTCCTTTTCCCTGGTTTTGTTTTTGTGCTCGGCTAATAACACATCAAATCGTTTTCTTCTACCCTGAACAGCCCTCCGCTGGGTTAAGGAATGTGTCTGAAGAACAAGAAACACAGAACTGAGGAATCTCTACATGACTTTGATCTGTCACATACCCTCAAACGCCACTCTCTTTAAAAAGCAATCTATACCATCAGCACAGTTAAAGACAGCTCAGCATTTGATGAGATAAAAAATAATTCCAAAAGCATAATCTTTTCTCCGCTGGACTAAAAGCACCCAGTCTAGACTAACTGGAGGAGAATCTGGGAATGTTATTTCTATCAGAATGAAGGAGTCATGTTAGTTGGGTCACCTGGCTATGTAACTAGTGGCCAATAGTAGAAACAGGTGACAGGTGCTCATGTTTTGTTACCATGAGAGCAATTGTTTATTGAGGCTCTTATCAACTCCATTAAAGAGTCCCTCTTTCAACCATTTAAAACTCCAAATGCTAACAAAGGAGAGAAACAATGATTCCATAAACACACATTAACAAGTGTTCTTGTAGTAATTGCAGAGAGTAAAAATGAAACAATTGCTTTTCTGTCTTCCAGTGAAAATGCCCTGCGAAGACAGAGTGGGCTGACACATTCTGGAGACAAGGGACCACCATAGCTATGGAAGACCTGAGAGGGTGAACACAAGGCCGAGAAAGAGCTGCAACAGGAAGAGACACCCAGCAGCCAGTTCCACTCCCGAGTCTGCAGACAAGAGTCAAGGTTCAGAACTGAGAAAGGGGCACCCGGAGGGGAGGAAGGCCAAGGGACAGTTGCTGGCTTTCAGAAGGCAACCAACGTCAACCTCTGATTGAAACACCTGTAAGAAAGCGTCTGTGCGCCAAATGCATTTTGATGATAACCAACATTCTATAAAAACCAAGGTAACAGAGTCTAGTCCTATTCCCAGCAGAAGACAAACTAGTATGTACAAAGTGCAAGGTCACCACAGTTGGCAACTCTTAGTTAAGTCTGATCACTGTGGAACGACTTCATAGGTCATAATTCATGAACTGCTGGGGTCTCAGTCTGTAAAAACGCAGGAGACGATGAACCCCAGGAGTGGGTCAGCTTCCATTGACGACAGGCCCTAGTCACGTGATCCATGAACATATGTGACTTCATCCACATTTCCTCCTCTCATGTTTGAAATATGACAAGGCACACTTCCCATGCTTCCCTACCGTACGTGCTCTACACCGCACTGCTCTGTGGGCTTATAGACATGTTGTTATGAACTTGGGGGATTTACCTCATTCATCTGAAACATGATAACCCAACCTACTGTCATACTGGCCACTGTGAAGTATGTCCACCCAAAACCCAACCAGGCACAGATAAATGTGCTAAGCTTCTTTTGAAAACTTTAAGGTCCTTTAGTATGTAACATACCCACATGAAAGTAACCTGAATGAGGAAAAGGAACTTTGTTTGTGTTCAGTGCTACATCAGCACCTAGAACTGCAACTGATGTTAAATAAATGCTCCAGTCAAAAAGTACATAAAAACAAAGATCCTTGTTGAGCACAGTGGCCCGTGCCCCTAATCCCAGCAGCCCGGGAGGCTGAGGCTGGAGGATCACAAGTTCAAAGCCACCCCTAACAACTTACGGATTTGGCTCTGTGGTAAGGCACCCTGGATTCAATGCCCAGTAAAAAAAAAAAAAAAGACCCCCCAAAAAACCCTCTACTACATACTGAAGGGATGAATGACATGCTGTCCCTGGCCCAGCTGCCTATCTTTCCAGACACACATATACACACTCCTCCTAAGTGTGCTGTGCTGCTTGGCCAAGGAAAGCTGAGTGAAGAAAGCAGGGAGACGGTATTGTCCCCGCTCAGGCTGATGAGCAGACAGGATGTCCACTGGGCTCTGAAGGACACTCCAAATACAGACCCGAGGACGCTGCTGCACCCCGACATCCAGAACTCTGCAAGGGGCTGACAGCACCAGGGAAGACTGGGCACACGCTAAAGCCCTGCTTTCTGCTCTGTGGAGTCACCTGCCTCTTCCTCCCCTCCAGTTTAGCTCCCGGCCCGTTTCTCGGGCTGCACAGAGTCCAAGCCTGCGCGTCCCTCCACTGTGCCTCTCCCACACCTCCCAGCCCAGGCAGGACAGAATGACTTTAACGCAGGGTCCTGTGGCTAGGAGCCTTCCTCAGCCACATCTTCTGACTGCAGGCCCTTCCGTTTTCATGAACCATCAGTGGGTTTTCTACTCCTCTCAAATCACCAATCTTCATCTCTGGCGTTAGACAAGGACAGCGGGCACACCCTGATTCTGTTGGACCCTACACCCCTGGGACCTAGAACAAGACCTGTGCTTGCAGGGTGTGTGATACCAAGTTTTTCAGTGATGCTGGACAGAGACAGAGGCACAGTGGTCATGATGCAGCCTGTCATACAGATGAGGAGGGAGGAGGGAGGCGGGCGGGAAGCAGACTACAGGGGACGAGTGAAGGGGGCGAGCAGCAGCAAGCCCACCCCAGGGTGGGAGAGACTCGGGTGAGAACTGGCCCAAGCCCAGGGTGCGAGAGACTCGGCGGCAACTTAGGACATTTAGGGGAGGGCCATGCAGGCATTAGTCCTACACGGCCTAACTGGTTCAGGCCAGAGTGAAGCAAGGGAAGGAAGAGAGCTGACCAGAGGACAATGAAGAAAGAAAGGCACTCTGGGAAAGCAGGCTGGCCGGAGGCTGCATTTTCTGCCAGCTTCATGCTGAACTCACGACAAGTCAGGGCTGAAGAGGGAGACTGATGCAAGGGCAGGCGTAGAACCAGGCCACACGCATCAATGACACACAAGAGCAGAAGAACAGCATGAGCCATCTGAAAGAAAGATGGCAGGAACATGCAGGTCCACACAAAAGCAGGAGGCGCAGGGAGAGTGGGAACACCTCTTGCTGATCCCACTTCTGGGCCTTAAAAACATACCAGCCCAACCACGTGTTCACCAGAGCACTACCTATAACACCTTGTTCTGAACAAGGTAAAGGCCCACTGACAGACAATAAAGAGAAATGTGGAAAATACAAGGGATGGAATATTATTCAGCCCTCGAAAAGGAGCTCCTGCCATTGCAATAACATGAGTGGGTCCAAAGGACATTATGCTAAGAGAAATAAGCCAGTCACAGAACACAAACACTTCATGACCCCACTTATGAGAACCAGCCAAACGCACAGAATCAAAAAACAGTCCTTCTAGAGGCCAGAGGGACAGGGAAATGAGGAATTACCAATCAACAATCAAAAAGCTCCAATTAAACAAGATGAATGAGTGCCAGGGACCTGTGGTACAACAGTGTGCGTACAGTCCACAATGATGTGCTGTACACTTAAAAAGGTTACTAAAAGAGGGTGACGCCAAGTGGTGTAGTTCTCACCACAGTAGAACAAAATTTAAAACAGAAAGAAAGAAAACACTTTGGTGCACCATGAAGTTTCACAGTTAACTTTAAAAAGAACACCCTGAGGCTGGAGATGGGTTCAGTGGTAGAGTGCTCGCCTACCAGCATGCACAAGGCCCTGGGTTCCATCCCCAGCATGGCAAAAACCAAAAAACCAACAAACCGAGTAGAACATCCTGGATAAAGAGAGCAAGCCTGCTCCTGAAAGCCAGGCAGACAGGAGGAGGGAGAAAGAGCGGGCCAGCTGGAATCACGGTGTGCAAGAGGGCCGGGGTGTTATTCCACAAATCCCCTTAGATGTAGCTGAAACCCTGACACAATTCTACACAGGTCACGTGGCCATATTCAACACACTACAGTATGTGTTCAATTAGTATCCCAGGAAGGGCAAAAGTTATTTGTCTTGAGGGAGGAGTTTGTCCTTGAGGGAGGACAAACTTGAGGACTCAGGGTAGGGGTGTCCATCAACCCAGGACAGAAGGCAAAAATCAGAATGTAGATGTGTACTTTTCCAATCCCTGAGCAGAGAGTCTATGCTTTTTTATTATTTTTTTTTTAAATTAGATATTAGGGGCATCCATTCCTCCAAATGGTTCAGAACCACTGTTTTAAGACAAAACATACACAATAAAATTAAATTAGAAACTAATACTCCTTGAACCCCTGTGGAGACAATTGGGGACACTCTCCAAAGAAATACTGTCCAACAGAGATGCCCACTCAGGCAGTGGAGCCCATGGAAGCCAGCCCAACCTTTTACTCACAGCGAATAGGCCCCTTCATTATTAGCCTACTGGCCATTTTAAAGGAAAAACAGGAAGACTTCAGAATGGAGAGGAAGATCATTAAATTTCCTAGTTAGATTATATTTTACGTTGTATTTTTGAAAAACTAGAAAGTAAGGCAATTTTAAAGTCATAGATTTTTAAAAAATAGTTTTTTGAAGTTTAAGAATTGTGGCATACACATTTTAAGGAAATTCATATATTTGCAAAGGAAGCTTCTGGACTTGTAAGTCTGTGCAGTTTAAACCACACCAGAGAGTATTACATTTCTATGTAGCAATACCGAGTCCTGAGAAACAGCAGACTGATCAGGGAAGGATACTGTTTTCTAGGACACAGAACTCATTGAAAATAAAACCTCTCTTGAGAGCATGATTCCCATCACACGCTTCACTCTTTGCCAACTCGAGCTCCTTTCTCTGGACCAAGTTATGTCCTCACTGACACAACTGAGGACAGTCTCCAGAGCATCAGTTAGACCATGGGATGGTGTGGTCCCTTCTCAGAGCCCCACGATCGCCACAGGTGTCAGCTCTGCCTGCAGGAAGACCTACCTTGCACGTCAAAGACCTGGTGCAGGGCTTCTTGGTGTCGAGATCAATGACCCCACAGTGGATGTCAGGATCAAACTCTCTTTCTGTCAAAAGCACAGAGACATTAAAATGGGCTTGCCAAACACTCCTTCATTTATTTTGTAAATTAGAAAATAGGAGACATCTCAAGACAGACAAATCTCACGTGCATATTTGCAAGTGGCACTCTTTTAAAGCAAGAGTGAGCCAAGCATGGTGGCTCACGCCTGTAATCCCAAAGACTCAGCACACTGAGGTAGGAGGATGCAAGTTCAAGGCCAGCCTCAGAAACTTAGCCAGGCCCTAAACAACTTAGCAAGACCTTGTTTCAAAATAAAAAATAAAAAGGACTGGGGACGTGGCTCAGTGATTAAGCACCACTGGGTTCAATCCCCAGTACCAAAAAAAAAAAAAAAAAAAAAAAGCAAGAGCTAAGAGGACAAACACTACCTAGGGAGCCTCTCCTAGGGCTCAGTGGGTCAGCAGTACACACAGCAGTCCCCTTGGTCCCTGGGAAAGCCCACTTGAAGTACAGAAACACTATTAAGAAAGAGCTGGGGGGTTACCTGATAATCTCTTATTTAAAAACTTCCTGTTATTGGAACCGTCTTCGGGTTTCTTTTCCAGAGCGGGTGGTGCAGGAAGCCCTTTGCCATTCAGAATCTGTCCAGGTGAAGGCAAGGTTGGCTTTGGTATTGAGGGGCAGTTAAGGCCAGGCTTGACTGAGGAACTCACAGTAGCAGGACAGGGTGGCCCCGCCGCAGGTTTCAGTAGTGTGCCATCCATCTTCGGATGAATCTTCTCCACTTTCACAGACGGCGTCATGCTGCAAGAGCAGGAGAGAGCACCAACGCCTGAGTGAGGGCAGCCCCAAGGGATGAGGCAGAGCCAGGGTCAGCAGCACCACACGGACTGGCCCCCAGAAGGCACCTTTTGAATTTTGTAAGAATTCACCAGAAAACCCTGTAAATGTTCACACTCATCCAGTCCATAAGCCCTTTGAAGAGGCAAAAGGCCCATTATCATTTCAGAACAATTTTACACATGGACCTATAGGAGACTTGGATCGAATACCCACCGGATGCAAGTTCTGCAAGAGGCAGACCAGGCAAAAGTCTAAAAGGATGAAAGACTCTGCAGAACCCTTATGCCACTAAAGATTTATGAGGACTCAAATAAATGTCAAATATACATGCCTAACAACACAGCACCAAGACAAGGTTCCCTGCTCTTGTCAAAGATGATGACCAATGTTTAATTAGCAGATGATGTGCCAGTTCTCCACTTCCTGATAAGAGGCTTCTATGGCAGGGGCTTTAGAGCATAAGTCCCTGGGATGGAGTTGGTGAGCCCTGAGGACCTGTCGCACAGCTAAAGCCCTGACTGCTCTTGGGATCTCAGACACTGTCATTTTCCCTTCATAAAACAGGTGATGTTGATAGGATCCTAATAGTGGGCTGGTCCCCTCTGAAGCCCTAGCTCCACATGAGGAGCTGGAGTGATGGTTCTGCAAACTGTTTAGTGGAGTCAGTGCTCCATGGCTGTCAGGCTGGTGAGTGACGTGGGCACTACACTGGCATCCTCTCTGGCTTTCAGACAGCTCCAGGAGCGAAAGTCGAGCTTATCATCCTGCGCTTCTGACAGATGAGCAGGTACTGGGGGCATAGTAACCAGGACAAATAGCCCCAAACAGCTATACCTGGAACAGCCTGAGTAGCAGAGACTCTGCAAGATGTTGTGGCCTCTCCTGGCAGGCAAGGTCCTTGAGCAGTAGCAGATGTTAGGTCCTGCTCTGAGATTAACCGCAGGTTATCAGACCTTGGGGCTGAGCTGGGTGGCATAAACTGCAAAGGGAGCCATGCCAGGGAAAAGCTACCCACTACTAGGCTGAGGGGTGCCATGACGAAGCAAGATGTGTTTCTATGGGTGTGCACGGCCACTCCTTCACGTGACCTCAAGAGGCCTGCCAACTTCCAGATCCACCCTGGAAGCATAACAGAGCCTTGCCAGGAGAGTGTGAACTTCTCTCAGTCTCCCTGCATCACGACTGTGATGTGAACCCAAAGCTGCCGGGAGGAAGCACTGCTTCCTGGTTGGTTTTGCAGGCCCCAGAAAATCCTAGAGTAGCATCTGGGAATCTCTTCACCTTTTATTTCTACTATTACTGATAGCTGTGGCAGGAATGCCAGCACCTATTCATTAACTGCCTCCTGGGGGCCAGAGACAGATACCAACTAGAACTCCCCTTCCTGGAGGCTGTTACTCTTAGATGCTGAAACAGTGCCTTGCACACAGCCCTCAAGGAAGCAGCAGAAGTGGGATGTGAGGCCTATCTGACCTCAAGTCTTCTCAGACAAGGCCTCAAGTTGCGTCTCTTCCTGCTTATGTGGAACCGGGGTATACTAGTGGGAACTATCCCACTAAGACGTTGGGATCAACAAGCACCATTATTATCATTGCTACCACTGCTCTGAAAGTCTCCTGAGGCTCAGTGGGGAACAAAAGAGCCAGCCACACACACTTGAAAGCCCCCTGCATGGGTCTGTTCCCATGGCTCCCGGACTCTCCCACCACTGTACACAGGCACACTGTAGCAGGACCGGCGCTGGAAACCCTCAGGGCCATACTCACATTCTACTGTGGGGGACTCTACTTTGCTGGAGGGGATGTATTGGCCTGGTGTTCCCCCTGGGTTGCAGTTTCTCTTTGGGCGATTTCAACGACTTGGAACTTGAGGAGGACGCGCTAAGAACCCCTCCGCTGGAAGAACGGCTGCTTCCACTTGCACTGCCTCCTTTGCTTTTGGACAGAGAAGGGAAGAAGGAAAATACTGAAGTGGGAGGAACGGCCATAGAAGGCTTGCTAGATGAGCTATGTCTTCTTTCTGGAAAGGAAAACAGGAAGAAAGGAAAAAAAAAAAAGACACCGTGTTTCAGGCAAATCTCACATGGAACGGGAAGAGTTCCCTGAAATCAACATGTTTAGGTTAAAACATGTTATCATGGAGTCAAAACACACTAAACGCAGTCACTTTCAGAAAGGGCTTATCTAGGCCCCACACTTACTGAGCGTTCTAGGAACCAGCCCTCCTGTTTCCAAAGCACCTCGACATAACGAGGTTTATCACAGATACCCATCGGGAATTAAACACCCATTCTGAACACCAGCATACTGCCTTTTGGGTTTTCTCTGCTGGAAATGAACCTCTAACCTGGATTCAGGAAGAGGAAGACTCTTCCCTCATCTGCAGAGCTCTGGAAGTGACACTGCGTGGACATCCTCTCCTCCTTTCTAGCTCAGCCCCTCTCTGATTTTCAAAATAGCAGGATCTTCAGAAACAAGTTGTACCTTTTTTCTCCCCGTCACTACCCACCAGCATATGACACCAAATAAAGATGTTTCTAGGGTTATCTTATCGTTCCTTAAGAATCTGTGCTAAAATTTTCCAGTGAATCATTTCACTGCCCCCCCACCCCCTTTAAATAATCTCACTTGACTACAGATGGCACAGCCCCGGCTCACACCACCAGGGTGCCAAAGGCGCAAGACAAAATACCATAAATAGCTAGGCATGTTTTTTTAAACCAGGAAGTAATTCATGGTTGAGAACAGACTACAAAAGTTTAACTGAGAATAAATGTACCCAGGGGAGAATCAATTTTTTTCTGAGTATGGCAATTTAATATAAATCAAGAGATGTTGAAAAATGTTACTATTGAAAACGTATTAATTATTTGGTAAATTCATCTACTTGAGACCCCTGCAACGGCTGCTTGGTGGAAGCCTTAGATTAAACTCGTAAATTAAAATCACACACTTGCTTAACTCCAGCTTTCAAATGTCTGTGACCCAACACTGACTTATGGCAAAGGGAGTTCCGTTCTATGAGTACCTGAAACATGGAGCACGTTAGAATCAATGACTCCAAGCAGCATTTAAATGGCTTGTTTCCAAAGCCCATCTTTTAGTAGCCCAGAACCTCTCAGTGAGTCTTACTCTTGTTAGGACAGTTTAACAATGCTTTATGAGGTTTCTAGTGCCTGCTCCTCACCAGGACAGACAGATACTATCTACAGACAAATTCAAATTAGACCACTCCACCACGGAAAGGCTATCCTCTCGTTACAAAGGGTAAGTTGATAGTGATGCATAAAGGCCTCTTGCTGTGCCGACCAGGTAAAGGAGTATAAGGAAGGAAAAACTAAAGCGATTGTGGGGAATTACTTTTCCAAATTTGGCATCTGAGGTGTGTTTCTCTTTGTCTGTTTTAAATCTAGTCTTTCTTTTTTCTGTGATTCCAAAATGCACGGAATCTACTTCCACGCTTCAGCATTTGTCTGCCTCGATTGTAAACACGTTCTTATAGCTTTGCCACCTGCCCCTGCCCAGGACAGACTGAGCTGTAAGACTGGTACAGCTTTCCTCGTGCAAAGAAGTGATTTCCAAATGGCCCTGACAGTGGTTCTCACCCTGGAATGACCCCAGGAGCTCACCTGCAACCCTCCCTTGAGGATTGTGACTTAATTGGTTTGGGATGTGGCCTGGGCATCTGGACCTGGACAAGCTTCCCCTGGTGACTCTACTGTGCAGCCAAGGTTGGAAGACTCACCTGGATGAGGCTGATGTCTTGAGAACCATTGACCACGGCTGGTGGAACCCCTAGCACATGGCACTACATAGAGGGCTGCCACCATGTGTCCTTAATGAGTGCTTTCCACACCACCATCCCCTGCAAACCGTTCTCCTACCCTCAGCAAAGGCATATAAAATACTATTTGTTTTACTCAACAGATTTATTTTCAATGCTATACTTCCCTCTTCTGTGGTCTAATTCTGTCTCTAATAGAGGCATTCTTGGTGTCTTGGACCAGACAGTTCTACATACAGGACTTCAGAATGGTTCATAGTCCTGGCCCCACCATCTGGTCACCAGTTAGTGCCCCTCTGCCCCAGACCACTTGAACCCAACTCCTATCATTCCAGATGGGCTCCAGAGTAAAGCAGAGCACCACCACCTTCAGCTGAGAGCTGTTCCTCAAAGCAAGATCTCCAAGAAACGACAGGCTTAACAAGCTTGCTATGTTTTTCTGATAAACACTAAAATAAATATTAAAATTTAAATATTTACCCATGGTAAGCCACAAAAGCAACCTGAGTACTGTTCCCTTGGACAATACTGTCTGTGGCATAAAGAGGGGGATACCTCCCACCCCCCTGTAAGCTAGAATGCTGGGCTTAGAAGTTTTATTCTGTGGGTATCAGAGATCTCAGGTGTCTAAGGGCAAGTGGGCACACAGTCCTTAATTTGCGATGGTTTGATTTTATAATATTTCAACTCTATGGTTGTGCAAAAGTGATATACATTCAGGAAAACTTGGAATTGTGAACTGTCACCTTTTCTTAGGCTCATGATATACAATACAGTCAGGATGACATTGGGCAGTTCCAGAAAGCCACAGCTCCCCATGAGCCTGATCATGACAGGAAGGAACACTGTGCTGTGTGGCTAATTAAGATGCTCAGAAGGTTAGGTATATTAATATTTTTGGCGGGGAGGCACTGGGAATTGAACTCAGGCACGCTTAACCACTGAGCCACAATCTCAGCCCTATCTTATATTGTATTTAGAAACAGGGTCTCTCACTGAGTTGCTGAGGACCTCACTAAGTTGCTAAGAGGCTGGCTTTGAATTTTCAATCCTCCTGCTTCAGCCTCTTAAGCGCAGTACTAATATATTCTTGAGGGGCTGGGGTTGTGGCTCAGTGGTAGAGTGCTCGTCTTGCACGCGTGGGACCCTGGGTTCAATCCTCAGCACCACATAAAAAAAATAAATGAGTGAAATAAAGGTATTGTGTCCAGCTATAAAATAAATATTTAAAATATATAAATATATTTAAATAAAATTCCGAAACAGCTTCGCCTATCATGCTTGTTTTGAGAAGGCAAAGCCATTGACATATTAAGGAACAATCTGACCACCACAAAATCTTGCATTTGTTTTTGTCTGCAAGAAACACTGGGCAATGCAGAAACGACACCTGCCTGATGGAGCCACACAGGACACACAGTGCACATACTGCAAACACCCACCATGGATCTCAGTTCACAATGAACAGCTGCTGTCCCAACTCTCCGTCCAGTCTCACACAACCTCCCTCTACCACCAGGAGTGGCAACCCTGCCCAGGCCACTCCACAGGCAAATGCCAAGGCTCTTCAAGGTCCACTGCCACATTTATCTGAGTATTCATGTATTTTGGACTATTTACTATATGTAAGACTGTGCTACCATTTTCATTATGTTCCTCTTTTTTTTTCCTGCATGTGTCACTGATGAAGTTTTTGAGTGTTGTGCCATAACCCCATTTTTCCCAATAAGACTCATGTGGTTTTTATTGCACAGTGCAGTAAGTTTTAAGGAATGCATGTTGTGTTATAGCAGAACTGACTGCAACTGTAGGCTTGTCCTTTCAATTTTCTATTCCCATCAGGGGCCACACTCCCCATTATCTATCTATCTATCTATCTATTTTGCTATTAAAAGAAATTTTAACTTTTACTTATACTATTACTTTTTTTTATTTGTTCTTTTTAGATTCCATGATAGTAGAGTGCATTCTGACATATTATATATATACAAACATGGAGTCTAACTTCCCATTCTTGTGGTTGAACATGATGTGGAGTTTCACTGGTCGTGTGTTCACATAGGAACATGGGAAAGTTCTGTTCCATTCATTCTATTTTCTGTCCTATTCCCATGCCCCTCCCTTCCCTTCATTCCTCTTTGTCTAATCCAATGAACTTATTCCCTGCCTCAATTTTCTTTAGTTCACATCTTCTTTCCTTGCCTATTAAATCTTAGTATGGGATTCACCATTAGAAAATCCAGACTCAAAGCTTCCTAATGTTAAAAGTCTGTTGATGTATCAATTAAAAAAAACCCCTGTAATTCCTACTTCAACAAAAATGAAAGCTATTTAAAAACCAAGATCATGTGAACATTTCATTCACTAAAACTTAAAACAGGCTGTGTGTGTGTGTGTGTGTGTGTGTGTGTGTGTGTGTGTAGCTGAGATTACGGCTGAGAAGTGCCGGCTCAAATCCTTGTCATGCTACTGAATTAAGTTGTTCCTTCACAACACAAACTGGTAAATTGCTCTGAAAAGGACAGCATCTGGCTTTCTCCTCACAAGAGAGCAAAGGAGAAAAACCAAATTTAATTACGGTTGAGTTGGACTCCCTTTATCCTTTCAGTATGGATACTTATTTTTCTTAAGATTTTAAACTGGGCTTACAGCTTTAAAAAAGTTTATTCTGAGCTTAAAAGAGAAATAGGCGACTTACGGGTAGGGTTGGGGACCCTACATTCAGGGGACAAAGTGGTGGCCAGATGCTGAGCATGGCTGCAGTGTGGTTTGCAGAGCAGTCCCGGCTGTGCCGTCAAAGCGCTCCTCTCTCTGGGTCTGGCAGTGGCCCAGAGGAAGCACACTGTCCTGAGTTGGGAGGGCGCTGCCAACGCTCCAGCAAGGGACTCAGACGGGTAGGCCATAGCCAGGCGGGCGCAGGCAGAGCGAGCCACGTGCCAGCTTGAGCGGGCCATGCAGAGGTAAGCAGACCTGGGGGGCAGGGTGGGGAGATGCAAGGAGAGGAGAGGAGGAGGGGAGAGGAGGGGGGAAAGGGGCGGGAAGCCTGAGCCAGCGCCCCCTGGTGGCCTGAACACACAGAGCAGCGAGCCTGAAGGCAAGGGCAGGGGAGGGGAGGGGAGCGCTCTGTAGGTCTTCCAAAATGGAAAGCAACCAACCGAGTTTCTTACTCTGAATTCACGCTGAGTTTTTTTTTTTTTTTAATCGTTAGTATTAACACCCAGGTAGGTATAAGCCAA